CCCCTAGTGCTCAGCAATATGGAAAACAGGGCTTCACATCTGCTTATCAGTTTCAAAAAAGTCTGGTCAGTTTCAACATTAGTTTCCCCCCCCCTTTGCCTGAGTTCCTTTCTGTTCCTTTTCATTCAGTGAACTAATGCATGCGCAAAACCTGAACCACAAGGATTTGAATGGAAGGAATTTGCTGGATGCTACTGCTCAGCTGCGATAGAGAAAATTACATATTTTTAAAAAACTTTGGACAAGTGATGTTCCACCCCAATTTAGAAAAGTGTGTTTTTTAAATTGTATATACTCCAGAGCAAAAAGAATGGTGTGTAAGGTGGGTCCAGAATCTGAAGTCAAGATTAAAGACTTACTGCTCTGAAAATCTGTAGTAAAATGTGTGTGTGTAAGGGACCTAGATGTCTGGGGCTTCTTAAGTGCAAACCTGTATCTAAATCAGGCCGGACTAGAGTCATCCTGAACATTTCCCTCTCCTAACATTCCACTCAGGCCTCTAGTTTGTATACTATTATACACTGGATTATAGTACTATACTATGCCAGTACTGTAACTATAGTAAAACTACTGTACATGTTCCTTTATTATAATATTTCCTGATACAGTGTTGTTCCTGGGGGAAGTAATTAAGACTAAAGTGGAAGAACATGCTAACGTACATCCTCAGAACTGCAGGTAAAAGTTAGGATGAGGCACCAAGAAGAAGAGAAGAGATTGGATTTATACCCCGCCCTTCACTACCCAAAGGTGTCTCAGAGCGGCTTACAAACTCCTTTCCCTTCCCCTCCCCACAACAGACACCCTGTGAGGTAGGTGGGGCTGAGATAGCTCTTGACAGAAACTGCTCTTTTACCAAGAATCAGCTTTAACTTTCTTAATTTTTTCTTAATTCTGGAACAATCTAAATCAAGCTGGCAGCAGTGATACATCCTATCCCTACCTAATGAAAGAGTAGAAGGAGCCTTTGTGTCTATGTGTGTAAGTTTAGTATGGATAACCATACTTCTGCCTGCAACCTGCAGCTTTGGAAATGGACTAAATGCATTTATTTATTTATTTATTTAAACATTTTTACCCCGCCCTCCCTGCAAGCGGGCTCAGGGCGGCTTACAGGGGGCACAAGCCCTTACATAAAATCCAATAAAACCATAAAATCATAACCAAGACATTACAATTACATTACAATTAACGGTAAAGTGCTTCCATATCAAGATAGTCTTAAGATGTTACAGTGGTATCTTCCAGCATCCCCCAATTGGGGTACCACTGTCCAATAGGT